AAACCACGGCAGATTGAGCAGGGCTGAGATCTTACGCAGAGAGTTGGTGGATCCTTTGGCCATTCGCGCGGCCGACAGCAGCGTAGGGCGTGGTCTGGGGGTCCGGAGGGAGGAGTTTATGTCGGAGGCGGAGACAGAGCGCGGCAGTGGGCCGGGCGGCTCCAGGGAGGAGGAGCCATTGTTGTAGGGGGAGGGCCCGGGGGCGGGGCCAGAGGTGGAGGAGGCGTGGCCTCGGGGAGTGGTGGCTCCGCCCACTGACGACGCCGCGCGCTGTCGGGCCGGGTGGCCGATGGTGTTGTAGTGCTGGTGGTGGCTGCTGTAGTAGCGGCTGCTGCTGCTGTTGCTGCTGTAGTTGCTGTAGTTGCTGCTGCTGGAGGCGGCCCGGGCCCGGGGCGTGATGATGCGGACATCTGGGGAGAGGTAGCAAGGGCCCCGAGGTGGGGGCGAGGGGGAGGGTCAGTGAGGCTGGTGGGCGGGGCTTGACTCACTCACGGACAGACTGACGGACAGACTGACGGGTGGACAAGTTGCCAGCTCTCCGAGAGTTCAGCGCCTGTGAGGGCTGCTGCCATGTTGGAGTAGTGACGTCAGACAGCTGGGCGCTCGCAGGTCGTGTGTGGTCACGTGACAGATTAGTACAGTAGTACAGGGACATGACAGGTGGAGGAAGAACACGTAGCAAACCACACACAAGCCAGCCAACTGACCCAGGCACCGGGTCCACTCAAGGTGACTTGACCAGACGACATTTCCTCGGGGTGAACCGATATCTCCCGCATCACACACGCACACGCACACACACACACAGCAAACCTCACTTTACTTTCAGTTTATTAATAAAAGTTTAGCGGTACTCACAAAAACTGCACGCGCACTCTATTTTAGATAATTGTCTCTCTACTTTGGATAATTTCACACCTTACCAGGAACTTAGTCCAGCCCTTACGTAGGAACAAATGACGTACTGATTCCTCACATAAACGTCTAAAGCAACAAATGGAAACTGTGACAAATTTCTTATTTCAGAGACAAATATTGTCTTCTTAGAACGGTGGCGAATTTTCTCATTACTTCAGAAAAACAAAACATGATAGAGAGATGTCTTCTCATAATTCGGAGACAAACTTTCTTATAATTTCAGAGACAAACTTTTCTGTCTTTTTATTACGATGACAAATCGTCTTCCTGTTTCAGGGACATTTATTGTCTTCCTGTCAAAGTGACAAATAGAGACTAATGTTCATATTCCGGTGACTCCCAGACAAGCTGTCATCTGACGGCGACAAATTCCTTTCTTTTTCCTTCCAATGGTGTGTTACTGTAGGGCCTGGGGCGAGTCAGGGTGAGGAGACACAGACAGTTAGTACGTGACCAACATCACCAGGACACAGACAGCAGCTGTTACTGGCAGAAACTGTTACTGTCAGAAGCTGTTGGCAAACAGCCGTGCACAGCAAGACCTCTCATCTTCTCTAACGTTGTTTAAGTTAATTTCTGATTGGAAGGCCAACAAACGACAAAACTATATGCCCCCCCCC